CTCTTAGAGCAATGAGTTTAGAAGTGTTTAGGGGCATAACCCTGACAGAAATACATTAAAGAAATAATCAATTAAAAGGTTTTTTTATTGGCACTTCAACTTAGAGAGTGGCGAATGGAGGTAGAGGTGGAGACTGAGAGACAGGATGTACCCTAACTGAGTGTTTCCCAATCCTGGTCCTTAAGGCACACTGCCCTGCATGTTTTCCAAGTTTCCCTGCTCCAGCACACCTGATTCTAATGAATGGGACTTTAGCAGCTTTCTGCATAGCTGAAAAGTCGTTTGATTTATTAGAATCAGGTGTGCTGGAGCAGGGAAACTTGGAAAACATGCAGGGTAGTGTGCAGTGGAAACACTGCCCTAACTTACTGTAACTTTCACTAACTGAATTTTAAAATAAAATAGCTTATTTATTTTTATTTAATTTTTGTATTTTTTTTCTATGACTTCAACGTCGTATGTTGGAAATTTGCTTCGGGTGTCGAGTCAAATATTTGATTGTATTTCATTTTGTACGTTGGAAAATTCGTAAGTTTAGGCGATTGTAAGTAGAGGTTCTACTGTACAAACAGAAACCAAAACTGTCTGACCATGAGTCTTTGCAGGCTGCGGATGCGTGTGTAAAGACTGGGGTCCTCCGGTGAGGGAAGCTCCTCCTTAATCAGTAACAAACAGCCAGCTTCAAGCAGAGTCTCCTGATTACTCTTTTTCAGATCCACATCTACTTCCTGCCAAAGGAACAGAGGAACAATGAAAAGCCCGGTCATGCGGATTTTTGTGTGCTTTAATTATGTGCAGTGAAAATTTTTATTTTGCCCTGAATTTTTCTGCATTAAAAAAATGCTAAACATACTAAACCATTACAGTTTAACTGGCTGTTCCTGGGTAGAACTCCTGTGCTCTTAAGAGCCCATTCCTTAAAGCTAGAACCAGTCACCTGATATGACTTCATGTTCATGGTTACTGAAAGTAATGTATAATTACCTGTGTATAGCTTAATTTGATTGGAGGACTAATGGAAGAAATGGTGGAAACAAATACCTAGCGCACGCTGAGGTAGACGATGAAATAAAAGTGTGATGTCGTTGCAATCTAACAATTTAGCCATGGCAAACCCACCTCAGGGAAGTCAGTAAGCTGGGCAGAGCAGGACACGATTTCTGTAGGTTTGTCAAGTATCCGAGTGTAGATGACCATGACGTTGGAGAATTCTGCGGCGAACCCGAGCTGAACTTTCACCCCGCAGTCGAACTGGAGACAGTGGCTCTTGGGTAGGTCTATAAATAAGGAAACGTGGTTTAGCGAAACTCCAAGAAAAGTCACACGTGTAAGACGTTTCTGTTAATAGCTTCGAGAGTACCGTGTGCGACGGCCCACTGGAGGTTCCGAGCTGACTGCGACGCAGAGCAGTCGGAAATCCGGATTTTGTCGGTGAGGGAACGTCTCTCGGACAGATTGCTTCGCAGCTCCAGAGCCTGCCTCCCCCGTGTGATCTCACAGCGACCCAAGTCTGGAAAAAAGGAGCATTAAAGTGCATTCCTTCTGTCTGCTTGCAGGTGCTCCTACAGGTTCTCCCCCGGGTTTGCCCACGGTGATGACAGGACATCTCTCTACAGATAAAGCAGCTGAATGGATGGTTCTGTTGTCTTTTTTTCGCCCTCTCTTCCTGTTTTAGGGATTATTTAGGGGTTATTGTTACCTTTTCTCTATTCTCTCATCCTTTTTTTAATTTAATTTTTTGTTCCTTTTTTTCTTTCTTTTTTTTTTGTCGTTTCCTGTCCCCGGGTCAGGTTCGGCATTAACCATATTACTTCTGTAACAAAAAAAAATCTTAAATAAATAATAAAGCAGTATGGGATGATCAAAGGAGGCTTCACACCCTGACAGGCCTCCCTTGGCAAAGCAAAAGTGTCGGGCAGAGCACGGCACTCAGATTACAATTCTGTTGCCATAATGCTAAACACGACAAGGGCTTAAAAAAATAAATAATAAAAGTGCATTATACAGGGATCGGTCCTGCCAAAGAGTTGCACCTCTGGCTGAAACTCAGTGAGACCCAGTGAACAGCGCTGTGATCCCCCCTCTACCTTCAGCCACTCTGTCCAGCATGACGGTGACCTTCTCGTCCTCGCACACGCGCTGTTTGAGGAAGCTAATGAAGATGCCGTTGGATATGTCTTCCCGCTTCACCTCGTAGGCCTCCGCGTCCACACACCTGAACACGGCGAGAATCGCATGAGACCAAAGTCGATGGACCCGCAAATCAAACAACAGGCGCTCGGTAAGAAGACGGAACTGGCTCGGGGTCGGGGGGACTCACGTGGCATAACCGAAAACTATATTTGCCGTCACTTTGAGGAGTCTGGGTTGCACAATGACGTTATCGTTCGGGTTTCTGGGAAAAAAGACGGGAAAGTGTAACAATCACAAAAAGCCAAGGAGATTAACCGCATTTTAAAAATTCCGTTGGGGGAAAAAAAGACCCCGGGTCAGACGGGCAGCCGTACCTTTTGCGGCACATGTCCAACAGGAACACGTTGAGCCCCGTCTGCTTCTCCTGCATCCTGGTGAGGATGTCTTGCACACACAGGCAGTGCTCGGACGTGTAGGAGCTCGGCGCGTCGATGGGAACCATGAAACTGTTGCCGTAGTTCTCGTAGCCATGGCCGGCAAAATAGAGCAGGCCTAGAAAAACAATGTTTTTTTTATCTAGTTGGATGCAGACCTGGGATGCGTGCATTAACTTTAATATTTTAACCAAAAAATA